TACACCTTGGTCTTCCCTGTGGTCTCTTTTCTTCTGGCTTTCCCACCAATATCTTATATGCATTCCTCGTCTCCCCCATTCGTGCTACATGACCTGCCCACCTCATCCTCCTTGACTTGATCATTCTAATTATACTTGGAGAAGAGTACAAGTTATGAAACTCCTCATTATGTAGTTTTCTCCAACCTCCTGTCAATTCATCTCTCGTCGGTCCAAATATTCAACACCCTGTTATAAAATATTACAATCTTTAAACATTTTTTGGCATGACATTCAATTATTAACCTCACTGATAATTCAAAGGACCTTTTTTGCAGTTTAAATAATTTGTCATATTCATTATCCCTTCCCCATAATATAATACCGTACTGCAGACAAGACTCAAAATTTGAAAAGTAGATATTTCCTATGAGCTAATAGTTTCTTTTAATGTTTTTATCATATAAACTACTTTGCATAGATTAGCTCTTAAAAATCGACCACGGGGGCCCCATTTTAGGTTTTCTGTTATGTACGTAGTAAATACCTAAAAATCTCAGTTCTGATTTATAGGTAATTTCTATAGTTTTAAAATTTATTTGTGGTCTTAATGGAACTCTCATTTGTTTTGAATGAAATGACGTAGCAAATGTTTTTTCAAAATTTATTATAAGATTATTTTTCTCAAACCATATTTCTAACTCTCATCACGTTTTTTATTTTCTGGACATAGGTCTATAGTTTTTGACATCATGAATGTCCCCCTTTTTATGTATAGGTATTACTTTTGTTATTTTCAATCTGTCTGGGAAAGTGCCTCAACTCAATGAGGCATTGTAAATATGAAGAAGTGGTTTTTTAACATATTTTATATATTGTTTCACTAGATATTCTGGAATTTCATCATAGCCTGCTGAAATTTTGACTTTTAAACTCTTTGTTACACATTCTATTTCATCTTCAGTAACTGAACAAAAAACACTATCTTTGGACAGAAATTTGTCCTTTGTTTTGGTACCTGTGCATAATTCCCATTTTTACTACTATTTCAATTCATGAGATCATCAATTATTTTGATAAAGAATTTGTTTAACATATCTGCCTCTTCTTAGGGTTCTGATATTATATTAGTTCCAATGTGTAATTAAATCTTATCATGTTTCAAAGATTTTCCAACTTCTTTAGTTATTACATGCCACATAGCTTCTGTTTTATTTTTAGCCCTTAAAACATCCTTATCATTATCTATTCTTTTAGCTTCTTTGATGACTCTCTTATAAATGAAATTATATCTATTTATGTAGTCCTGCATATCACCCGATAGATTATAATGTTTTTTAAACCCACTTAGCAATTTCATCCTTTTACATGAGATCTGTATTCCTTGGGTAATCAAATTTTTTCTTAAGTTACTACTACAAACAGTTTTTAGTGGAAATGCTGTATTAAAATGATAAAGGATCATGCCCATAAAAGCGTTAAAGCATGAATTAACATCTGAAATAGAGAGACTCTCCTGCCATAATTCTTTTTGCAATAAATAGTTAAACTCTTCAATATTTCCTTTGGTATACTGTTTTTTCCTGGTCTTTATGGGTCCTCTATTTGGACTATTAACATGTATCTTTAGCATTTTTGCCAAGTGATCTGAATAACCCAGATCTAAAATCATTGATGAGCATTCAAAAGCCTGCTAGTTTGTTACAATAAAGTCTATCAGTGTTAATGATTCCATGTGATTATGGTTGGAGATGTTATTGTATTGACCAAACTGTACACCAGCAGCAAGGTTTTTAACCTTTAACGTCCGAATGTCACATATATAGGTCGCAAGCAGGAACCGGAGTTGGCCGAATGACCTGTGTATATGCCGCAGGACACATGCTTTCTTTGGGAGTGCTGGCGGTATGACCTTGGGTTGAAAACCAAAACAAACCTATGTGAGGTCATGTCAGTGGTTCATTCCTTAGCTCTGAACAAAGAAACTGTTCATCACGGTAATGGTTTCGATACTATTTATGTTTATATATAACTGTTGATGACCTGGTCAGCAAAATATAGCCCAGCTTTGTTTTGAGAACTGATGAAGAAATATTTATCGGTGCTTGCATATGAGCGCTTGCAGAGCCTTCAAGGAAGTCTGATGCATTCAAGGATTGGTTTTCAGTGGCGAATTATCAGTCAGGAAGTCAGTGTCAGACTGTCATATATTTCTTTATATATCATTTTCATTTTGCATCTTCGAAGAGGTATAAACCCACTGAGCCTTATTACGTTGTGAGTAAAAGGCATCTTCGCCACTGCGACTTTCAGTATGTGTCAGACTGGCACTGTTTTTGACTAGTATTATAATTACTTCGCATCACTATTTTGCGAATATTACCAACAGGTGAGAGTGTCGCTTTGTCAATCAACATAATTTACTCGATTTTGCTAGAAACCCCCCTCCCCCAAGATGATTCTTCAAACGCACAAGCCGAATATCATGGTCAGTGGCGTTTCTCGGGGGAAGGCAAAATTTGTCAGGGGGCCCAACTGAGTTCAGTGGAGTTGAAAAATTCACAATACTGGCCAACCAAAGGGAAACAAAGACGTCATGTGTTTTGCTAAATAAGAAAAGCAGGAGCACCCTCTTCTATTGTAAAAAGTGTGATTTTGCGTGCCACGCATGTCAGCGTGACTATCACAGTGAAGTGACTGTGAACTGAAACTGTGAAGTGACACAGTTCAAACTCACGTACAGTAATATTACTGTATATATGTAGAGTGATTATATTTACAATACCACCAAGTCTCAAAGCTGAATATCACAAGGCGAATATCACGGTCAGTGGCGTTTCTCGGGGGAGGCCAAGGTTACCTGGGGTCCAACTGAGTCGACTGGAGGAGAAACATTCACAACACTGGCCAACCAAAGGGAAACAAAGATGTATTTGTTCTCAGAATAAGAAGTGCAGAAGCACGCTCTACTGCTGTAAAAAGTGTGACGTTGCGCTATGCGTGTTGGGCTGCTTCGAGAAGTAGTACATGCGCTTCAGAGTGTGAGTTATCGTAAACTGTGAAGTGACGCAGTTCAAATTCGC